ATTAAGAGACTGGTTATTAAACGATAAAATATTAAAAATTTGCCTACCCAGAATAACTTTTAGCTACGATAAATTAAGTTGGGGAAAAATTAGATCTATGATTAGATTTATTTTTAGAAAAACTGATATATCTATTATCATTTATCATGATATACTAACAAATCCTGAACCTGAGGAAATAACTACAATATTACAAGAGAATCACACTAGTCCTACGGCTGGACACTCTGGTTTTCATCGGACATACAATCGTATAAAAAAACATTTCAAATGGAATAATATGAAAAATGATATTAAAAACTTTATAAAAACCTGTGAATCTTGTCAGAAAAATAAACTCGTTAGAAAAAAATTCGTAAAGCCCATGGAGATAACAACAACAAGCTCAAATCCATTAGAAAAAATATTTTTAGATATAGTAGGTCCTTTACCTTTAACCGAGTCAGGTAATAAGTTCATATTAACATTACAAGATGACTTAACAAAATTTTCTCAAGCTTATGCAATTCCGAATCATGAAACCAAGACTATCGCTGAAAATCTGGTTCGTGGATTTATTTGCAAGTTTGGAAAACCCGATATAATAGTTACTGATCAAGGCCGAGATTTTACTTCCAAATTATTTTCTCAAATCGCCAAGCTTTTTAAAATCAGACATATAAATTGTACTGCTTATCATCCAGAATCAAATGCTGCATTAGAAAGGAGTCACGCTACTTTAGCAGACTACCTTAAACATTATATTAAAGCTGATCAATCCGATTGGGACGAATGGCTAGATTTTGCTATGTTTTCATATAATACAACTAATCATACTTCAACCAAATTCACACCATATGAACTAATATTTGGATATACACCTAATCTACCTAGCAGTATAATACGACCAGTAGAACTCAAATATACATATGAAGATTATTTAGATAATTTAACACTTAAACTTAGAAAATCTCATGAGTTAGCAAAAACGAATCTATTAGAATCTAAAGTAGTCAGTAAAAAATATTATGACCAAAAGATTAATGACACCGTTTTCTTAGAAGGACAATTAGTATATCTCCAAAATGAGCAAACAAAGAAGGGTCAAACCAAAAAACTTACACAAAATTATAATGGACCTTATAAAATTCTAGAGATAAATTCTCCTGTCAATTGCACAATTTTAGTAAATAAAAAACCAATAAAAGTTCACATGAATAGATTGAAACATGCTTTTGTTTCAGGTATGCAATAATATGGCTGACAAATAGTGAACAAATTCACAAGAAATATACCAATACTCCTATCAACAAATCACCTGGAATCTATTACGAACACATAAAAAATGTTCAATTTATTGAAACTCATTGGAACATATTAAGTCATATTCCTTTACAACCTTTTACAGACAAATTAAATTTTGTAGATCTCACCTATCAAAAACATTAAGACTGTGTCAAAACAAACCAGTTCTTATTGAATTACGATTATGTGATACTTCACTAAAACTCTTAGGACAAATCATACCTAGACTCTTTCAAGATGAACAAACTTTAAAAAACATAATTCTGCATGAACATTTTAGACCAAAACGCGCTCTATTTAATGCAATTGGATCTGTTTTCAGGACCTTATTCGGTACCTTAGACAGTGATGATGCTGAAAATTTCAATAATGCTATTAACAAAGCTGAAAGTAACGAAAATCATCTTCTTGATTTACTAAAACAACAAATTCATGTAGTAAAAGCCACGATTGCAAATTTTAATAACTCTATTACAAATCTAGACCGAAACAAAGTGATTTTTGATAAAAATTTTGAATCAATTACCAATTACACAGATAAAATGAATAATAAATATTTTAATTTAGATTTAAAACAAAAAATTGAAGAACATTTTACTTTACTAACTTTCTTTATAACAGAATTACAACAAGAATATTCTACTTTAATAAACGTTATTCTATTTGCAAGAAATAATAACCTTCATCCTTCTGTTATAACACCTGAGCAACTAATTCAAGAATTATCTAAAACGGTAACGCATTTACCTAGTACATCGACTTATCCATTTCCATTGACTATCGATTATGCTCATAAATATTTCGATATCATTTTACTTAAATATATATATTTTGATAACAAGATTTTAATTACGGTTAGTATACCTTTGGTTAGTAATACTCCTTATTCTCTTTTTAAACTAATATCTCTTCCTATAATTCATCCAACATTAAAGAGACTTACCTTTATTCTTCCATCTGTCAAATATCTTGTTCTTTCAGAAAATAGAAACATTTATGTTACTATTGATACATTAGAAGACTGTTATTCATTAGATGAAGAAAAACTTATTTGCAAAAATCCTGATACTTTCCGATTTACACACACTAATCCAATTTGTGAAACTGAATTGTTAACTTCAATAACAAACATACCATCTAGTTGCGATACTCGTATAATTCAAACAGAATATGAAATTTGGCATAAATTAAACAAACCAAATTCTTGGATATATGTTTTACCCAAACCAACAGATTTAACTTTAAGCTGTCAGACTAGTACGCCAATATCTATTGTTCTTTCAAACACAGGTATTTTTTCTACTTCGAATAATTGCAAAACTTACACCGGATCAACTATTTTGATATCTGTCTCAAATCCAAAAGAAAGTAATTTTCAATCTATCATTCCAGATTTATCCCTTCCAGAAGTCTGTTGTGATGATATTAAGATAAATAATGAATCCAAATTACACCTTGTTCCCTTACAATTAAATAATCTCGATCGAGATGCATTAAATTTAGCAAGCCATAAACTAGATAATTTAGAGAAAATGACCTCAGAAACAAATATTAATTTTTCAGACACAATAAAAAATAGTTCTTATTTCACTTATGCAATCTTATTTTTGATAAAATGTATGTTACTTTATATTTTATACAGGATAATTAAATATTTTTACCGACGATTTCGTAGAAATCCGTCACATAGTTGTCAACAAATTACAAATTGTTTAACACTAAATATATGTCAAAGTAAACGAAAACATGTACATGAGACAGATTTAAGTATAGATTGTAAACATAATAAAGACAATAATTATAGTGAATCCAAAAAGTGTGAAGAGACTAGTTTCACAGAGACTACACCGATAAGACGAAGTGAAAGACTATCGAGACTAAAAGAAACTATTTAAATGTGTTAAAATAAAATAATAATGTATACAAATGTTTTATACCATTTAAATGAAAATTCATTTTACAATTATTTTCATTCTTACAAAAGGAGGTGTAATGTACCTACCTACTCACATGTAAGATAATTAAAGTATCTATGTATTTCTATATAGTTTTTAGTCACCTGGTATATGTTATTTACAATTATGAAAAGTTCTCATGTATAATCACTAATAATTATTTGCTGTTAGAAATCAGAATCAATACTCTTCATAAATATTTTCCTATTTAGAATAAATAAGTTTCGCTAGTTTATTCGCCTAATACTTCGTATCTATGGAATAATAATAATTTATTTCTCTTATTTCTTTGTTCGATAAGCTATCCGTATTTGCTATTTTAATATTAATATTTGAGTCCAATCTCTTGTACTCAAATCCATCCAGAAACATCGTTAAATAATTGTAGATAACAGAACTTATAAATTCATAGTTTTAAGAAATAACAGGCAGTGTAATTTTCATCCTCTAATATAATAAATTTATACATGTCAATATATTCTGTTTAATTCCAAAACAAAGAGTTAGTCCGGAGAAGAAATAAACGCATAGTATTCCATAACACTATATATACCAGCATTATTCTAAAGCTCTAATCTAAGGCTTCCTGACAGTTCGACACAACAGTGGCAAGACATGCCCAGTCAATTTATTTATTATTATATTTTCATGATCATTCATTCGTATGTCTGAAAGACGTCGTAGAGATGTTATTAGACCGTCGAATTTCAACACGAAGCTCAACCACGCAAAGAAAAGGAAATTTAGAGTTAAACCGGATTCATTTTTCTTAAAATCGAATTTTTCTTATTTTCCACTTTTTTGCAGGTTTCTTGCTAGTAAGAAGTTATGAGTTTATTGGAGTCAGTGAAATTTTAAGTTATTTGGTAAACTAAGTCTAGTCTGTCTGAATGGCAATATCTTGATGAACCTGCAAAAAAAGAAACAATGTGGCTATGATTTATTCCTATCGATTTTATTTGGATGTACACATACTGAGTTTTTAGTATAACCCTTTTTCTTGTCATTTATGAAGAATTAGTAAGTTTTGCCTTGCCGAACTAAGTGGGAAAGGTCTTTCTCAACAAATCAAATATACCAAGATAAATTCATGAGCATAACAGATAAACAGCAGTTATTGCAATCAATAATTCTTACGACCTTTTAGATTTTTTTAGCGAGAGTTTGAATTGTGAAAGAGAAATCAAATAGTTTAAAAAAATACAATCTGGTTGGGATATTGACTGAGAAACCTATGGTTTCATTCGCCTAATCGTAAGAAGTTACATTGAAAACTGTAGTTGCAGACTGTATTCTTTTGAGTCATTACTTAGTTTTGATTAATTCATATATTATGTAATAAACTATTTTAAAACTTTAACACGAAACTCGGTAATAGATTTATTCGTTAGTTTTTTAGAAACAAATTTGGTTTACCTAACCCTTTGCATGGATGTCTAAAAATACTTCAAATTTCAAGCGCCGAAGACAGATGTGTTGTTTGTATAATCTGGCGCAAAGACCACATTGTTGCAGTTGTGACACACGCTGGATGCTGGAAGAATTCAGTATTGAGTGCGTATCATGTTACCGGAAACACATGGCCCTTTGTCAAGGAACTATACACAATTTATAAACTAAATTATGAAATATGATGACAGTTAAAGAAAAAATAAACACAGGTAATTTGTACAGGATGTATAGGAAATCAGTTTTCTAAAATAACGCGAAATAGAAACTTTTGTATTTATTTTTCTCATAACTAGTTGAGATGATTTAAAGATGTACACTTTATTAAAATATAAAAATACAGGCTATAGCGAAAAGCCACAGAGAAAAATTAAGAAAAGTAGATTTCAACACCGTAAGTTATACATTGGATAGTTTAAAAGTTTGGGAGAATGCATTTCAAATAGTGTCTTCACACTACATTTAAATATAGTCTACACTCTCTACACGGTATGTATTTAAAACGGGCCTCCACTGAACAAGAGAAACGAGAAAGAATAAGAAACTTCCATTCACAAATACATCGATCTATTTTGTTTAAATTTAAATATAAGGATGATTTGCATCCTCGTTTTTTCGTAGAACAATCCATCAGGTAAGAAGCCAAGAACGAGTTATTTATTTAATAAATCTTCGAAGCAGGTAACAACTTGTAAATGTAATAGCTCTGTGGTTTCTCTTCCGCTCATCTCATATGTGCTGTTGTTTTAACCATTGGCGTACGCAAATTTCGTTCTATTGAAGCCAAAATGTGGTTTATATTTTGCCAAATAGATGACACCATGATCTGTATTATATTTTTGTAATCATATCATCGATAGATGACTTATGTCACTGATGTGATTGATTTATTTGCGAAGAAAAAGGGTATGACAGCGTAAAAAACGTTTTAATAACACAAAACGTAGAATGTACCGCATAATAATAACACAAACAGTACTCATACATGCGAGTCTTATTGATCACTAAATAGGTGCAGAAAATTAGAAAGGTGGAAGCATAATATGTAAAATGTGACCAGTAACACCAAGAATTCACCACTTTCGTTAAGACTGAAGAATGAGATCACTAGGGCATATTCAACGAATTAGAGAAACGGAAATTAAGAAGATGGTTTTAAATAGAAAATGCATTAGAATAACTATATTAGATTAAAATATAGGTCAAGATAGGTAAAAAAGGTGGAAATTCACCTGAGACAAGTGGGTGTTACGATTTGGAGAAGGTACCGTCGGTGTTAAATAGCTTTATAAGTTCAGCATATGCAGCATATACATTGTCATGTCCAGAAGCTTTATCATTTTTTAGGTGTGATATTCCTTTTTCCACTTCATCTGATGTGATTGTCATTACATATGTAGGGCGAAGGTTGTTCGGACCTATTATCATCAAAGAGTTCTTGCATGTATTTGGTCCATATGCATATTTCTTGATTTTTATCTGTGATAATGTTACCCTGATGGTGTAATTAAGCTACTTGAAATTACGGCAATTAATGAGTTATTAAAGTGTGCTAAATATCACCCAGTTGGAGCAAATAGTTTATTTTGTTCAATTTTTTATCCCGGACAACGATTATTTAAACAACTGTACTTGCCCAAACAGTGACCCTATAGGTATTTTGTAATTTGCAATCGATTCTTTGAAGCTTCAGTTTTAGAATATATCAAAAAAACTTCAACAGTTTGTTAAATTTTTTACTCAGAAAAAAAGTATGAAAAAGGGGAGGCTTTTTAGCTTATAACCTCTTATACAATTTATAGATGACATATACAGAGGACTGAAAAGTTATAACCGATTGAAATAGTGGTACTCGTAAAATACCGCCACGGAAAAGTGGAGGAGAGAACTCTCGAGCTCAGTTTTTTTTAGATTGGAACTTCAAATTCAAACGCGCTGGCAAAATTTGCAATATTTTGGATCTTATCACGTTGAACCTTCATTATTTTAAACTTTTAAACAAATAATAAGAATTATGCTATTTTCACCTTCCTTAAATCCCGGAAAAATAAATAAATAATTTTTTTTTATAAAAAAGTTATTGAATTTTACTATTATTTCTTAAGAAATTTAAATTTTAAAGTTTATAATATCTATATGCATAAAAATATAATAATAAGTATAAATTAATAAAATACATATATTCCATTTTATAGTTTTTTCTTCCAACAAAATAATTTATTTTATTATAATTACACTTAATGAAGATAAGTAGCTAAATAAATAATATTTTTATAGTTCACCCCTCTACTTTTCTGTGACGGTATTTTACGAGTATTATCATGTTAACATGTATAATACAATAATATAATTTATAATACAATTTACATCTTCATCTATAATCTTTGCAAAACATAATGGAAATATAAATTAAAAAAAAAATAAAAATGCTATCTTGTTTCTTATTGGTCTTGTTTTGGAAAGGTTCTTTTTCAATAGCTTTTCAATGAGCCTGCTAACAAGAGTGTGACATAGAAAATGTCATAGTTATTATAATTGTTAATAAGCTAAAAAGTCAGTCCTTCTTTAAGTCAGTCCGAGTCGATTCCAATGCCTTTAATGCCACCTGACTATCCGATATCATTTTTATTGATCTGTTCCTGTAGTTCTTCTTTATTAGTTCTGCAGACACATCTCTATAGTATAAATTTCTGCTTGGAAAATAGGGACAAGTATGACCTCAATGGAGGCGGTTTGGGGTAGTTGACATCACTCCTGTTATGATTAAGCATGCTTGTCATTGAAGCTTATTCAGCTTTTCTCTTATCGGTTTATAAAAAAAAAATTAAGTGAGAATATACCAACACTAACGTGGTATACATGTCAGAGGCACATCATCTATAGCTAACAATAACAAAACACGTATCTATTAAGCACAAAAAATCAGAATTTGATATCAAAAATACTTCTGAATGATCTAGAAATGTAAGCATGGGTGGATGCCTTTAAGATTGAGACCAAAAAATCTGAAAAGTAAAGGTCAAGATTTCATTTACCGCCAATTGAATACAAAAACATTTGCAGGTTATATTAATTCTTTACAATTCTTATTTCAGGAATTTTTTAGAATGATTACCAGATTTCAAACAGACAAATTTTCATGATAAACTTCAAAAACAAAAATAGTAATTTTTATTACAATTCATTGTAGTTTATCCCCATATATAAAGTAATATAAATATTAATTTTTATTACAATTCATTGTAGTTTATCCCCATATGTAATCAGTGAAAAACAGGCCACAAATAAATAGTTTTATAACCATAGTTTTCTCTAGTACTTCTACAGGATTTTACGGAATTTCCTACACTTCAGTATAAAAACTCAAGGTGAAAAATCATTAGTCTTTACATCTAACGCTGTTTTTCATATTTTATGACTAAACCAATGCTAATAATGCATAAAAGTGCGTCAATTGCAGTTGAAATCGCACTCAGGCGGGTCCAGCGACATGGCAGATCACGGATGGCAGTCAAGGTTAACGAGTCGACAAAATAATATACTAATTATTATTAAATCCATGTATGGAATGACTCACACCCGTTTAATTAATTAACCGGATTAAATAATTACTTTACATGGCGAATTTAATATGATTCCTTTCCTTCTGTACAATAAATCAAAGCTTAGTGGTTTTCTACAGCTCAAAGGAAAGTGTTTAAAACTGGTTAGGGATCGCCCATCGATAGGGAATTGTTGAAAATTTTTGTAATTTCTAACCTTATTCTAATTAAAATTTCTTCCTATTTATTTTTATGACTACAGTGTTTCTACTATTTGTGTTGATCTAAAACTACTTTCCTGTGGTATCTTCGATTAATATCATGTATATACGCTGGTGCTCAAAATTAACCGGACACTCAGATTTTTTGTTTTTTTTTTTGTTGGTGTTTAGATCACAACTTGTTTATTTTGTGTAACAATAAAACACTGAAAACTTTGTTTTCAAACTTCCACAAAATTTATTTTAACCTCTTTATCACTACAGCTGTTTCGGCTGATTGCCTTTTTCAAGTGATCTATTTTTGGCATGCGTTTACACTTTATAGTCTCTAATGAAATAGGTTGAGGAGGGGAGAACTGTTTGTCTCAAGTTGGTCATTCAGAATTATATCTGTATTTTTAAATTTGTTGATTTCCATAGATTCTAACAAGGATAGCTTAAGGCCTTTATTTTGAATGTGAAGAAATTTAAATTCATCATTACAAGAATGATTGTGATCTAGAAGGTGAAGTGCGTATGTAGAATCTGTTTTTCTATTATTGAAAGCCCTTTTATGTTCTGCTATTCGTTTATTAAAGTTTCTACCAGTTTGACTGATGTAAGTTTTTGGGCAGTCGCTACATTTAAGTTTGTAAATACCACTGTGTAAGTGTTTTTTATTTTGGCTCTTGTTGTTTTTGGTATACTTGCCTAGGTTGTTATTTGTTCGGAAAGCTGGTGTTATTCCTTTCTTTTTTATCTGTTTGGCTATTTTTGTTGATATTTTGCCTGTATATGTAATCGAGCAGAAAGTACTGAGAAAGAAACTCGAGTAGAAAGTCTGTTTTTCAATGTGCCTTCAGTAAGTTTTTCCATCGTTTTCGAGGTCTTCCTACTGATCGTCTTCCTATTAGGGAACTATCTCTTGCCGTCATTACTATTCTAGTTGTTGTCATTCGGCTTATATGATCCTTTCATTTTACTCTTCTATTTCTTACCCTATTCTTGATGTTCTCCACCTTGCATCTACGTTGTATATCTGCACGAATGAGAGCCGTAATTAGGACTCCAGGTAATACACTCTACTAAATATCGTTTTTCATAAAAAATGTTTAAATGTTTAAATTATTTTTGTTTCTTTGGAGATTTTTCTCCAAAACTCCAGTTTTTAAGAAAAATCTGAGTGTTCGATTAATTTTGCACTCCAATGTAGTTGAAGATAAACCGCATTTGAAATGAAATTTTTTAGTTGCCGTTTCAATTTCTGGAATGAAAGTGGTTTTCAAAATAAATTTTGTAAAAATTAAGAAAACTATTGTGTTTTTACCGTAAAAACAAAACCTATTAATTTTACGGTTTACTTGAGTATAAGTGTATTTGATTATTTGAATTCAGCTGTAACTAGTCTTTATAACTACTACATTTGGTCGTACATCTAGTGTACATGGGTGTCCCAATTGTTATGTTTTACAGGGTATACCGAAAACTGGAGAAGATAGAAAAAAGCAGTTAAGATTTCATGACTTCTTTTTTCGTTAAAGTAACGATTGCCTAATCAAATCATTAATAGCTCCCCAAATTAGCGAGATATATAGATCGATTATTGGAAAATGTCGAAAACAACAGGGTTATATATCTTCTTTCTTAAGAAA